GTGTTGCACAGTAGATGAACACATTCCGTTTTTATTACCTGCATCACAACACCAACGATGGGCGATTAACTTGTCACATGCAATCCACCTGCTAAGGTTGCATGAATGGCTGCAGATGACAATATTTAGGCAGCGTTCATTGAATATCTTACAAACTACTTCGTTATTCGTTCTCATCAGTGATTTAAAGTTGAAAAGCAAAAAAAAATATTTAAATACTCACTGAACGCATAAAGTGTGTTCCAATATTGGAGTTTTTGATTTTCTCCAAACTTCCTGTTTCAGGCGAAGTATATACCCCCCTAGTGGGATGAGTACATTTTCTAGTGCTATCAGAGGAGTGATGGCTGTGGGAAAATTTCGCTTACTGAGAGGCTTTTTTGGCAGTGTAGTGGTCAGAGATGTCGTGAGAATGTCCCCTTATCTTTACTTATCAATTGATAAAATTGCTTGTCACCCGTCATCAATGTCGCTATCACTAAAACTCCATAATTTCGTGGTGTAGAGGCTCCAGCGTTTGATTGAACAACATCGTTCTCTATCAGGCCCTATCAGCTGTTATCATTTCCTGTCACCCGCCGTCGCATTCTCCACCTTCCCCTTGATATCATTTGCTGAAATCAACGCCTAACTGATGCTGTGTACCGCGTTATGAGTATGTTGTCCTTTCCACTCTAACTCCCTTTATCAGCGGCTAGCAGTTCTTGTCACCCACATATTCCTGTGCCATAACCTATATCATACCTTGAAAAAACGCCCCAGTGTTCCAGTCGGACCGTCCCTCTGCTTCCTTCTCTTGCGCATGCTCAGATCGGGCTGAGCACGCGCAGGGGAAGGAAGCAGAGGGGGGCACCCCCCCCTCTCGGCCCCACCCCACCCTGCCCCCGCACGAGCACACGTCCAGCTGCCACGCCAGCAGCTCGTGCAATGGCTCGGAGTGTACCGAATGGTTGTCTTATATAGCGGAGGCCGATATCACGATCAAAACATTGGATTGATACTTCCGCACCGATTTGCCTGTTTGCCTAGCGGTCGTTTTCGCCTCCAGCGAACTCGAACCCGTGAAGCATTTTGCGGACGGACAAACATACATACATACATACGACCGGACAAAACGACTACCCAAAGTTAGTGCTTTACCTAGAATAGAAGGATCAGTGCAGTGAAATCTTATCATAACGGCTTATCAGTCTCCGAGCCTGCATCTCCCGTAACATTGCAGTAAAAGGTTCTCAATAACCTTCAATTTCTTTAGGGAGAGACGATTGCCGCCCACAAACATGAATTACGTCTGCGAATTGAACCGAAAGACAAGAATCATTTCCGAATGGTAAGCATTGAAAAAACTGCAGACTTAGTTGTCGCCACTTGATAATGGAAATAGGCGCTAGTAACTTTGAGGGTGGGGCTTAAAAGAACTTTTCGTGCAAAACTAGGACCAATCCAGTAAGGCCGTTTTAGGGGAACCAATTTCAGGAATCACTATTTTGTTTTGAGACTGGTAGCTGTTGCAACTGATCAAGAACGATAAAGATTATGACTGATTAGACTGCAATGGAAGAACTCTTCAAGCCACTTTAGGTCCACGACAGCGGCGATTAGTAGAAACGTCTGACATTGAATAGCTCTATCATAACAATCTTGTAAAGCATAAGAAAACAATCAACAATCTCAGTGCCAAGGCTTTAAAGAGGCCGATTTCGAGACCAGTGTACGTCACCCGCATTGAATTTCCGTGCTCGAAATTTGTTCACACACCGTAGAGCCTTAACAGCATACTACCCAATTCACGTTGAGACGAACCATCTCCATTATAGTAACTTTTCTTTTACACAAAAGGTATCCTTCATATGCTCCCTTCAAGGTTACTGCTCCAAAGAAGCGTTCATTACCTGGCATACCGTAATTGATTCCAGCTTGATTTCAGCTCCGGGAGTTTGACCACGAAAACATGAACCGCTTCATAGGTTTGTGTTTGGACGGACCACATATGCTTTCATTGTGGAAGTACTGCTCTCGTGGAAGCATCGATGATGTCATCGAGAAGAATTCATGCAAAATGGATGGATTTTTTGTGTTTATCCTGGCTGAAAAGATATAGTTTCCAACGTGAGCACACAGTTATATCAATGCTGAATTGATTTTGGGATGTTTTTTCGAATCAAGAAACGCGGAGCTGCACTATGTGGGAGAGGGGGTGAATGGCGCGTGGCTGATCAGGATAAGCTCGCATTAATACCTCGCGATTCGACCGCCCGTAGGGTAGCGTTCATACTTCACGACGACAGCGCTTCAGCCGCGCGTTAACGACCGGGGCGCTGCTGCCGTCACGCGCGCCGCCAAGGGCCTCTACGACCGAGAGTTTTGTAGTCCATTTTCACTGTTTTGCTGTTTGGCGGTAAGGTGCTCAGTCGTAGCGCGCGGACCGAGCGTCACTAACTTGTGAATCGCGAAATATGAACGCACTCTGACAACAAAATACAGTAATCAGGATTCGGACCATCTTTCTGTATCCTACGGAATGAACCTCACTTATTCACCTCTACCGTGATACAATGTTGTTTACCTTTTGTACATTCACTTCCTCCCAGCTAGGAGTATGGTTCAGTTGTTGTGACGCGGTTCGATGAGTAAACATCCGACGAAACCCTCGAACGGCAGAAGCAGGATGGAAGGAGTAGGAACACATCCCAACCACCAACCTACGAATTGCGATTTTATCGACTATTTCTCGAAGCTGACTGATAGAGTCCTTGGGCGGCAGCGGATACTGATTATCGAGTCGGAGGGCTTGGTTTGGCGGTCCGTTTCCACCAGACTTTGTCCCTCGTCCACCTCAATAGTTGATGGATAACGGACTGGCACCGCGCCAAACCCAGCCCCCGGGCGCTCAGCATGCAGCGAGCAGACTGTAACCAAATTTTGCCGAGTTGTATTGATGACAATTTCCATACCGGATAATGCACCGCCGCCACCTGCTACTCACCTTTTCTCCTGAAACTTACAAATTAGCCTTGAGTAAAAATATTATTGTAGTAGAAGCTGATATAAAAATAATGTTCTTCAACTAAACTGAGGCAATACCTGAAGAATTGCAGGCGCTTTGTTTCATACACCGATCGGCCCTTCACTTACACGGGTTTCTGACTTCCAAATGCTGTCTGGTCGATGAGCGTTGGGTGGTGAAGATATCGGACTTCGGCTTGGACCGATGGCGACTCGGAGACAACCTATTCAAAAAGGTTGTTCATATTCTTGCTTGTAAACAGGCGTGCGAACAAACTCTGTAGAAATTGGCTGGGATGAAAAATACAGTTTTTATGATTGCAGTCAGTCGGCTCAATTTCAGGAGAAGATGACTCACCCTACCTGATTCTTCGCATAGTTATCTTCCCCCTCTAAATTAATCACTAAATGATCACCATTGGTTGAGAAAGGCAGCGCGAGGCGAGCTCATTCCGTCTTCCTCTTTCTGCCCCCGACTGATTGCAATGTTGCAGACTATAATTCAAAGGAAGAACATTGTGTAGCACTGCGGACATGGCTCTCCCTTTGCAAATGGGGGAACGAGGGCACCAGATGAATTCTAGCGCTCAATTTTTGGAAATGTTGTGCAGCATCTCACTCGCGTAACCAGAGTGAGACTTGTAAACCGGAACTAGTGAGACAGAGAAACTGCAAAATGCCCCCCGTCGCCCGGTGGACTGTTCTCGTGAGTGGTGTAGCAAATTTTGTCGTCAAAACTTATCATTTTCACCTCAAGCAATTGTTATACTTTTCTGTCACCGATCGTTGATACTACGCCTCCCCCTTCCCCCTACACACTCTATGTCACGGTAGATGAATCACAGTTCTACTTTCAGCCAAGTGGACACTATGATTCATCTACCGTGAACATAGAGTGTGTAGGGAATGCTGTGAAGAAGAGCTAACAAACTAAGTAGTCCCTTAACTTCCAATTTGTGGGCCTCCTTTTCCAGCCGTGTCCTTATTCTCAGCACCTTACTAGTTGCTATCATCTCCTGCCAGTTTCAATGAGTGCTCACACCCCGCTCCTTACATTATTATTTGAAATGAACACCTCACAGTTGCTATGACCGCGCTTATGACCTGATTCACTGAACCTGCCCTTCGGATGCCCCTCACCAGCTGGCAATTCTTCCTATCCCCCACCGTAGACTGTTCCGTCATAGCCGCTATACTACTTCTTCAAGTCAACGTCTCACTGCTACGGGGGCGAGCTATGGATTTCCTGATTTCCATACAGGCATATGTATTTAGTGATTATATAAAGTGGGATGCGCATGCTATCTCTCAAGAACTGGTCAACTTCAAACTCATTATCCTCCCTTTCTTTCAGATTTACTATGGAGCGCTCCGGAACACATTCGAAATGGCAACATCGAAGGGTCACAAGAGGGTGACATATACAGGTACGTGCTTCTCCTAAGGCGATTCAGTTTTCTCCAAAAGGTAAGAAAATATCGCAAATTACTCTTGAGCTTCTCCCCCATTGCAACTGCAGCCATAGTTTTTTTGCACTGCATGTTGGCTTTGTAGCTTACCAGGTCGATAGCAAGCACATTTATCGTGACAGCTTACTGTCCTCTCAAAATTCAACCTTTGGACCTTTGGAGTTGGAGGCCTGAAGGAAGTGGGTAGGATAAATCGTTTAGGCTTATAACGTGAGCAGGCCTAGTAAGGAGGGATATCGCACCCTAAGACTGCGTGGTACGCCGGCAGTCTCGGGAATGCCTACATGGTTACAAATGGTCGATTTGGTCGAGTGATCACAGTCGCATACGGC